CGTGGCACGAGGGTTGAAGGCTTGACATTGTTGGAAAGCATATCATTTGATGCCGCCCCTTTACCACTGACGCGCCTTTTCATCAAGCAAGCCATATTTTAAGTAGAGCAACTCGTCCTAGATTTTGACCAAGTGTCTTTCACCGCAGCTAATGCTCATTGCATCATGTAGAATGTCAACTACGAAGATTTTGTAGTTTGGGTAATTGGACGAGTCATCTATGTAATTTCGTAGATGTCTACCTTGAATTATCGTGACATGTTAAACGACAGCCTCCCATGTTAGTCCATCCGCTAAGCCTTGGAGCTACGTAGCCGAGATGTTGTCCGGTAAGTTAGTTCGAAGAAATGGTCCGCAATGGCTCAAGAAAACGCAAAAGGTTGTGTGGGAACTAGTGTGTCCGTAACGGACCACCTTGTGCCAGCTTCGCGACTGAAATTGTGAAAGGGTTGAAGTTGCTCAAGTGGAACCTCCCTTTTCCACTGACATCACCTCCTGACTCTGCCTTCAACGACAATATCCACCTTTCAACCAAAAGCGATGTTACGCCTGCGTTCAGACTCAACGCGCTGTTGAGCGAGCTCTCACGAGTGTTGCTGCGCTTTAAAGGCAGTTGGCACGATAAATTCTTAAAGACGAGTAGGATTAATACGACTGGCATGACAGATGACCTGATAGGCGCTGCGTAGCGCCTTTTCTAAGGAGGGTACCCTTATAGGGCCCTATTGAGGAGCGACATACCGAACCGGACGCCCACCTCGCATGCCCGCCTACCATTGGATGTATAGCATCACAGCACGAGGACGTGCCGTTGTGGACCGCCCGTGCCTACGTGTAATGTAGTGTAACGTAGAGCGACGTAGAACGTACTGCTGGCTTTTTGCCAGCAGTAAACGGTTCAATCGGTAGACTCGTCCAAAGCAGCGCCCGCCCCAGCGAAGAAATAAACTACTTCGTGGTTTCCTCACCATTTTGCCCTGTTTTTTTTTACTATTTCTGCATTACTGGGCACCTTTTGCCCATTTCAAAAATACTAGTGAAATATCCGTGAATGTTTAACTCTAGGTCAAAGGCGTTAAAGCGTTACAAACGCCGCTAGTACGTTATAAGCCGGTTAGTGCTACTCTGCCAACCTATTTTAATCAAGATAAACAGGATTATCACATCCGCTTAGGTTAGCCTGAAACTGCCTGGAGCTCACGCCACAGGCGCCAAATACCCTGAATACCCTTGATAACCAAAATACCCTAAATCACCAAACTCGCTGAAAACTTGTCATTAGGAGTAGCTTGACTTCCTGAACATGAATATCACATTTGCTTGGCGCGAAACCGCGCCAAAACACCCCAAATCAATGAATTCAATGAAAACTTGCCTCTAGGGGTAGCTTAACATCCTGATCACATCCGCTTTGCCCGAAACCGCCTGGTGCCCGCGCCAAAGGAGCCGGGCAATGGATTAGCCGACTGGGCTCATCTCAACACGCGGTTTTTTTGGTTTTTCACTTGTACAATTGATCGAGGCTTGAGGGATTATATTGATGCTGAAGTGAACTTTCACTGTTCCATGTTTCCAACATTTACTTTATCATTTTCTCTTCACAGACGAGTCTTTTGGCAACTTCTTAGATGAGAAATTCAAAACCGTCTTGCAAAATGGGTCTTTGGAAATTCACCGCTCCCAATCAAACCAACCAAAAACTAGGAAAGGTTACAGGCTAGCAGTGCGCATTACGTGACTGTATGGCGTAGCAAATGAGGGGCGGGGACATCAATGTTATTAAGAAATCACGTTTTACTTACCATTAGAAAGGTCATCACCTATCAGCTAAGCATACAATCTTGTCTTTAACGAACTCCAGGCAGTACAAGAACGCGGCTGGCTCACGTCTAATGGGCGCTCTGAGTT